GAGTTGGCAGCCCCAAAAAAAAAAAACGTATTTTCGGAAAGTCGATCGATGCACTTGGTGGACTCGCGATTGTGATATACAGGGTGATTGACAGTAATGTGAGTCGAAGATGATGATTGACTAGTGTTAAGTGGGATTTATAAACTTGCTGTTGACGTTAAAGTTCCCGCTGACGTTGCTTTTACAGCTGAAAATTGTCATTTATAAACTCCGTTGCCAAGTTGCCATTGATAGTTTCTTGTTGTCGAAATAAGTCTGCACATGTTAAGCAAAACAGGGCAAAATGTAGCCCCGCCCACCCACCCTGTCTCGATTGTGATGATTTTTTTATTCGTCGTGAGCCAAGAGGGCGGAGCTTAACTGCAAAATCCTTATTTCTCTAGGAGAAATTAAAAACATGTTTTTGAGTGTCGTGTTGTTCAAGAATACTGTGTATATTAAGAAAAAAATTTTGTTAAATTTCGAAAATTCTCAAAAGTGAGTCGAAATTTGCATCAGGGAAAATTCTTTTTTGAAAAAATTCAGTCATGTAAATTTCGACTTGCTGATTCCAAAAATATAGTGTGTTGATGGTCACGGAGCAACATTTTCGAAAGAATCGGTACGAAATGCGAATTTTTGAAAATTTCTAAATATTTCGATATTTCGACGGTCGATTCCGGAAAAACGGTTGCAGTTATCAAAGAAACGATGCCGGAAGTGAGTTCTAGAGATCGAAATCTACAAGAAAATGTGTTTGGTTAAGTTTCGAAAATGTCAAAATTTGGCCGAAATTTGAAGAAGGGGGGACCATTGGAAAAATTTCACTTTTAAAAAAGTTGTCTAAAAATTGTGAAAAAATTCAGGGACGTAGATCTCGACATGCTGATTCCAAAAATATATTGTGTTGATGGTCACGGAGCAACATTTTCGAAAGAATCGGTACGAAATGCGAATTTTTGAAAAATTCTAAAAATTTCGATATTTCCACTGTCGATTCTGGAAAAACAGTTGAAGTTATCAAAGAAACGATGCCGGAAGTGAGTTCTAGAGATCGAAATCTACAAGAAAATATATTTAGTTAAGTTTCGAAAATGTCAAAAATTGACCGAAATTTGAAGAATTGGAAAAATTATCACTTTTAAAAAAGTTGCCTAAAAATTGTGAAAAAATTCAGGGACGTAGATCTCGACATGCTGATTCCAAAAATATAGTGTGTTGATGGTCACGGAGCAACATTTACGAAAGAATCGGTATGAAATGCGAATTTTTGAGAATTTCTAAAAATTTCGATATTTCAACGGCCGATTCCGGAAAAACGGTTGCAGTTATCAAAGAATCGATGCCGGAAGTGAGTTCTAGAGCTCGAAATCTACAAGAAAATGTATTTAGTAGAGTTTCAAAAATGTCAAAATTCGCCGAAATTTGAAGAAGGGGGGACCATTGGAAAAATTTCAATTTTAAAAAAGTTGTCTGAAATTTGCGAAAAAATTCAGGGACGTAGATCTCGACATGCTGATCCAAAAATATAGTGTGTTGATGGTCACGGAGCAACATTTTCGAAAGAATCGGTATGAAATGCGAATTTTTGAGAATTTCTAAAAATTTCGATATTTCAACGGCCGATTCCGGAAAAACGGTTGCAGTAACTAAAGAATCGATGCCGGAAGTGAGTTCTAGAGCTCGAAATCTACAAGAAAATGTATTTAGTAGAGTTTCGAAAATGTCAAAATTTGGCCGAAATTTGAAGAAGACCATTGGAAAAATTTCACTTTTAAAAAAGTTGTCAAAAAATTGTGAAAAAATTCAGGGACGTAGATCTCGACATGCTGATTCCGAAAATATAGCGTGTTGATGGTCACGGAGTAACATTTTCGAAAGAATCTGTACGAAATGCGAATTTTTGAGAATTTCTAAAAATTTCGATTTTTCAACGGTCGATTCTGGAAAAACGGTTGCAGTTATCAAATAAACGATGCCGGAAGTGAGTTCTAGAGATCGAAATCTACAAGAAAATGTGTTTAGTTAAGTTTCGAAAATGTCAAAATTTGGCCGAAATTTGAAGAAGATTGAAAAAAATTTCACTTTTAAGAAAGTTGTCTTAAAATTACGAAAAAATTCAGGGATGTAGATCTCGACATGCTGATTCCAAAAATACAGCATGTTGATGGTCAACAAGCAACATTTTCGAAAAAATCGGTACGAAATGATGCAAATTTTTGAATAATTCTAAAAAATCGGTATTTCAACGGTCGATTCCGGAAAAATGGTTGCAGTTATCAAAGAAACGATGCCGGAAGTGAGTTCTAGAGCTCGAAATCTCCAAGAAAATGTGTTTGGTTAAGTTTCGAAAATGTCGAAAATTTGGCCGAAATTTGAAGGGGGTACCATTGGAAAAATTTCACTTTTAAAAAAGTTGTTTAAAAATTGTGAAAAAAATTCAGGGACGTAGATCTCGACACGCTGATTCCAAAAATATAGCATGTTGATGGCCAAAGAGCAACATTTTCGAAAAAATCGGTACGAAATACAAATTTTTCAAAAATTCTAAAAATATCGATATTTCAACGGTCGATTCCGGAAAAACGGTTGCAGTTATCAAAGAAACGAAGCCGGAAATGAGTTCTAGAGCCCGAAATCTACAGAAAAATATCTTTAGTTAAGTTTCGAAAATGTCAAAATTTGGCCGAAATTTGAACAAGGGGGGAACACTGAAAAATTTCACTTTTAAAAAAGTTGTCTGAAAATTACGAAAAAATTCAGGGATCTCGACATGCTCATTCCAAAAATACAGCATGTTGATGGTCAACGAGCAACATTTTCGAAAAAATCGGTACGAAATACAAATTTTTCAAAAATTCTAAAAATATCGATATTTCAACGGTCGATTCCGGAAAAACGGTTGCAGTAATCAAAGAAACGATGCCGGAAGTGAGTTCTAGAGCTCGAAATCTCCAAGAAAATGTGTTTAGTTAAGTTTCGAAAATGTCAAAATTTGGCCGAAATTTGAAGAAGACCATTGGAAAAATTTCACTTTTAAAAAAGTTGTCAAAAAATTGTGAAAAAATTCAGGGACGTAGATCTCGACATGCTGATTCCAAAAATATAGTGTGTTGATGGTCACGGAGCAACATTTACGAAAGAATCGGTATGAAATGCGAATTTTTGAGAATTTCTAAAAATTTCGATATTTCAACGGCCGATTCCGGAAAAACGGTTGCAGTTATCAAAGAATCGATGCCGGAAGTGAGTTCTAGAGCTCGAAATCTACAAGAAAATGTATTTAGTAGAGTTTCAAAAATGTCAAAATTCGCCGAAATTTGAAGAAGGGGGGACCATTGGAAAAATTTCAATTTTAAAAAAGTTGTCTGAAATTTGCGAAAAAATTCAGGGACGTAGATCTCGACATGCTGATTCCAAAAATATAGTGTTTTGATGGTCACGGAGCAACATTTTCGAAAGAATCGGTATGAAATGCGAATTTTTGAGAATTTCTAAAAATTTCGATATTTCAACGGCCGATTCCGGAAAAACGGTTGCAGTAACTAAAGAATCGATGCCGGAAGTGAGTTCTAGAGCTCGAAATCTACAAGAAAATGTATTTAGTAGAGTTTCAAAAATGTCAAAATTCGCCGAAATTTGAAGAAGGGGGGGACCATTGGAAAAATTTCAATTTTAAAAAAGTTGTCTGAAATTTGCGAAAAAATTCAGGGACGTAGATCTCGACATGCTGATTCCAAAAATATAGTGTGTTGATGGTCACGGAGCAACATTTTCGAAAGAATCGGTATGAAATGCGAATTTTTGAGAATTTCTAAAAATTTCGATATTTCAACTGCCGATTCCGGAAAAAAGGTTGCAGTAACCAAAGAATCGATGCCGGAAGTGAGTTCTAGAGCTCGAAATCTACAAGAAAATGTATTTAGTAGAGTTTCAAAAATGTCAAAATTCACCGAAATTTGAAGAAGGGGGGACGGACCATTGGAAAAATTTCAATTTTAAAAAAGTTGTCTGAAATTTGCGAAAAAATTCAGGGACGTAGATCTCGACATGCTGATTCCGAAAATATAGCGTGTTGATGGTCACGGAGTAACATTTTCGAAAGAATCTGTACGAAATGCGAATTTTTGAGAATTTCTAAAAATTTCGATTTTTCAACGGTCGATTCTGGAAAAACGGTTGCAGTTATCAAATAAAGGATGCCGGAAGTGAGTTCTAGAGCTCGAAATCTCCAAGAAAATGTGTTTAGTTAAGTTTCGAAAATGTCAAAATTTGGCCGAAATTTGAAGAAGGGGGGACCATTAGAAAAATTTCACTTTTCAAAAAGTTGTCCAAAAATTGTGAAAAAATTCAGGGACGTAGATCTCGACATGCTGATTCCAAAAATATAGTGTGTTGATGGTCACCAATCAACATTTTCAAAAAAATCGGTACGAAATGCGAATTTTTGAGGATTTCTAAAAATTTCAATATTTCGACAGTCGATTCCGGAAAAACGGTTGCAGTTATCAAAGAAATGAGGCCGGAAATGAGTTCTAGAGCTCGAAATCTCCAGAAGAATGTGTTTAGTAAGTTTCGAAAATGTCAAAATTTGGCCGAAATTTGAAGAAGGGGGGACCATTGGAAAAATTTCATATTTAAAAAAGTTTTCTAAAAATTGTGAAAAAATTCAGGGACGTAGATTTCGACACGCTGATTCCAAAAATATAGCCTGTTGATGGTCACGGAGCAACATTTTCGAAAAAATCGGTACGAAATGCAAATTTTTGAAAAATTCTAAAAATAATATTCTATATTAGACTTATTTCGACAAGAAGAAGCTTAAAACTTTTGCTAAAATGGTTATCCAACAGCGTGCCAACTTTAACGGCAACGTCAACGACAAGTTCATTCGGCGAAACGTTGAGGATTTTATTTCAGATAGGCAACCCATAACACATCTGTTTTGTTTTCGTTTGTAAATATGCAACCCAAACTACACCTGTACGGTATATACAAACTTGTTATTGTTGTTCTTTCAGTGAAAGCTCGATGTTCATCTCGAAGCGGCGCTTCATCCTCAAGACCTGCGGCACCACCACGCCTCTGCTCTGCCTGGAGCCCCTGCTGCTGCTCGCCGAGCAGTACGCCGGCTTCACCGAGGTGGAGGACTTGTTCTACTCGCGCAAGAACTACAAGCGGCCCGACCTTCAGGTCACTCCCCACAAGCACTTCGACCAGGAGGTGGCTCTCCTGGACTCGCTGTTCCCCGACGGCGTGGCCTATTGCATGGGGGCCGTGAACAAGGACTGCTGGTACTTGTATACCTTGAACCCCTTCACGCGCAGGGCGCCTCGCCAGCCCCTGCCCGTGCTGGACGAGCCGGACCAGACGTTGGAGATACTCATGACCGACTTAGACCCCGAAGTCATGAGCATCTTCTCCAAGGAGGAGTCGCTGAACGCCACTGAAGCAACCAAGGTAACGTCTTCGTTTCGCTATACATAGTGTTGACAGTTTTGTTGTGCAGAGGTCCGGCATCGACAAGATCATCCCCAACATGATCATCGACGACTTCCTGTTCGAACCGTGCGGTTACTCCATGAACGGGGTCACAAAAAATGTAAGTGCGTACGTACGAATGCGAAAATGAGACGTTGTTACTGTGTCTGTTTGCATGTCTGTCAGATAAGCGCTGAAATGTCCGACGTAAGTAGCCTGCGTCGCGGTGACGTCATTAATTTTGAGACCGATTTCCATTAGGGCTGTTACATGACGATCCATATCACTCCCGAGCCGGAGTTCTCGTACGTGAGCTTCGAGACCAACGTTCCGTGCAGTTCGTACCGCGAGATCATCAATAAGGTTCTGGATACGTTCCTGCCGGGGAAGTTCACCGTGACGGTGTTCGCCAATCAGGTGAGAGCCACGCCCTAAATTCACTAAGCCCCGCCTGACGTTGTCGTCGTAGGCGTCGCCCACGAAGGACACCGCCGAGGAGCTGCAGTACCTCAGCACCATCGGCGAGTGGCAGCGCCGCGACGTGCAGCACTGCCGCTTCAAGAACTACGACCTCATCTACACCTTCTACTCGAAGTTCCCGAGCTGAGGGTGTCAGGTAAAGTTGTACTTTAGTGCAGCTGTCTCTCCACCCCCCCTATCATTGCTCCGCCTCCTTCTCGTCATCCGATCGCTCGTCTTCCTCGAACTCTCCTCCGAGTACAAAATTCTCCAAGCGCCGCTCTACCGCGGCTACTCCAAGTTCTCCAAACATATCTTCGGCCCGTTCTCCTTCATCCACATCTTCTTCTTCCTCTTCGCTCCCGTCTTCACCTTCACCGCGTTCGAGTCGCCACTGGTCTTGTTCTCGTGGTGGCGCAACAAGATCTCGTGAGATTTGCTTAAAAACTTTTAAAGCCAGTAGGGTGCATAGTGGACGTATGTGTTGTTTTTACCTTTTACCTATGAGGGTTAGGAGAAACATGCATGAGAGTTTTTTTCGTTTTCATCTGTCCAACACTATGTCGATGCTGCTTTAAGAGTTTTTTCTGATTTCTTTGTTACAAATTTTAAGCTAGAGTGGCCAAGGGCACTTTCTATTTACCTTTCAAGGACCTTGAGGGATATTCGACCTGTATTTTAACTTTCTTTTTCGTTGTCGAAATTACTGTTTACAAGCAGGGTTGCAAAGGTCCATTCAAAAAGTAAGCTATTGTGACTTGACGCTGGTCCCGGCGCGTCAGGGGCTGCTGAGCGAATAATAGCTTATTTTTTACATATTGAGAATTCCGTATTTTTTATCTAGGGTTATAGCATTTTTTAACACTTTATTTACGTTAGTGTAATGTTAATTATATAGAGAATCATTTTAAAATAACGGCTAGACTAGATTTAACCTTGGGACATATACAAAATGTTGATGTTTAAGATACTTTAACATAATAAAGTTTACTTCAATTTATTGTTGTCTTTTCTTAGCACCCAACTTCACCCATCTACACAACAGTTTAATAACTTCTAATAAAAATTGGTCTAAAGAGTTTAGACAGTACTTCCCTCGCTGTCGGAAACTTGACGACTGCATGCCTATTGTGTTTTTTTTCTCATTACATTTTTGTAGTGGGAATTTAAAAAAAAATTGTGATGACGTCATCGACATTTTTGCAAGGACACGTATATCAGTTGGGATAGATGTAGTGTAATACTAAGAATAAAATTATTGTATTCCCAAATTTTCGGGAAAATGAATTGGGTCGTTTTGAATATTGATTTCTTATAATCAATAAAATAACGAAACAATTTACTCGCGTATACGGCAACTGAAAATCGTTTATGTATAAACATTCTTAATTTAAGATGACAAGCGTAACAGCATACGTGAGAGTCAAACAGAGAAACTGTAAACAAAACGACCATCGGTTTTATTGCTTCGACTTCTGCTTATTATATAAAACATTGGGTTTTATTTTAATTCTTGACGGTGAAATTCACAATTGGTTGATTATAAATATGTCTATTTCACATTCGCGGAACCAAGTGAGCGCATAAAACAAATGCAGGTCTGTAATGTTAAAGTCGATGTAAATAAGCGTGCTACCCTTATGTTTCAACCGAGTTTTTCCTTTAACAAATTTTGTGTCTACCAAATTGGGTTGGTTGGGGTGTAATACTAAAAATAAGTGTTGCCTTTAATTTAATCAATAAAATAAATTGACTTCATTAATTTTTTTGAACCACCTCTTAAGAAAATCTAAAAAATATGAATGGAATGATAAATCACAAGTACAAACTCATCATATTTTTTGCATTTTAGATAGGATTTATTCAGCAAAATTTAAGGGTGACGTCATCAATTTTTTTAGGAGGGATGAACAAATACATTTTGAACAAAAGTTTACCATGCTTATAATAACTTTAAAATATTCCCAAGATTTCAAAGCATTCGGTTTTCTAATTCCTGATTAAATCGATAAAATAAATTCACGCCTTCATTAATTTTTTCGAGTCACCCTGCATATGCAAATCCAAAAATATGAATGGAATGATAAATCACAAGTACAGACTCATCATATTTTGTACACTTTAGATACGATTTATTCGGCAAACTTTTGAGCTGACGTCATCAGTTTTTTGTAGAAGATAACCAAATATATTTTGACTAAAAATTTATTATGCTCTTTATAACCTTAAAACATCTGCAAGATTTCAAAGCATTCGGTTTTGTAGTTCCTGATTAAATCAATAAAATAAATTTACGCATTCATTAATTTTTTTGAGTCACCCTGTATATGCAAATCGAAAAAATTTGAATGGAATGATAAATCACAAGAAGAGACTCACCATATTTTGTACATTTTAGATAGGATTTATTCAGCAAAATTTTGTGGTAACGTCATAAATTTTTTAGGGGGGACGACCAAATACATTTTGATCAAAAATTTACCATGCTTATGATAATGTTAAAATATCTTCAAGATTTCGAAGCATTCGGTTTTGTAGTTCCTGAGTAAATCAGTAAAATAAATTTACGCTTTCATTTATTTTTTTGAATCACCCTGTATATGCAAATCCAAAAAATATTAATGGAGTGATAGATCACAAGTACAGACTAATCATATTTTGTACATTTTAGATATGATTTATTCGGCAAATTTTCGAGCTGACGTCATCAAGTTTTTGGAGGGGATAAGCAAATATATTTTGACTAAACATTTATTATGCTCTTTATAACTTTAAAACATCTGCAAGATGTCAGAGCATTCCGTTTTGTAGTTCCTGATTAAATCAATAAAATATATTTACGCATTCATTAATTTTTTTGAGTCACCCTGTATATGCAAATCCAAAAAATATGAATGGAGTGATAGATCACAAGTACAGACTAATCATATTTTGTACATTTTAGATATGATTTATTCGGCAAATTTTCGAGCTGACGTCATCAAGTTTTTGGAGGGGATAAGCAAATATATTTTGACTAAACATTTATTATGCTCTTTATAACCTTAAAACATCTGCAAGATGTCAGAGCATTCCGTTTTGTAGTTCCTGATTAAATCAATAAAATATATTTACGCATTCATTAATTTTTTTGAGTCACCCTGTATATGCAAATCCAAAAAATATGAATGGAGTGATAGATCACAAGTACAGACTAATCATATTTTGTACATTTTAGATATGATTTATTCGGCAAATTTTCGAGCTGACGTCATCAAGTTTTTGGAGGGGATAAGCAAATATATTTTGACTAAACATTTATTATGCTCTTTATAACCTTAAAACATCTGCAAGATGTCAGAGCATTCCGTTTTGTAGTTCCTGATTAAATCAATAAAATATATTTACGCATTCATTAATTTTTTTGAGTCACTCTGTATATGCAAATCCAAAAAATATGAATGGAGTGATAAATGACAAGTACAGACTCATCATATTTTGTACATTTTAGATATGATTTATTCGGCAAACTTTCGAGCTGACGTCATCAAGTTTTTGGAGGGGATAAGCAAATATATTTTGACTAAACATTTATTATGCTCTTTATGACCTTAAAACATCTGCAAGATTTCAGAGCATTCGGTTTTGTAGTTCCTGATTAAATCAATAAGATATATTTACGCATTCATTAATTTTTTTGAGTCACCCTGTATATGCAAATCCAAAAAATATGAATGGAGTGATAGATCACAAGTACAGACTCATCATATTTTGTACATTTTAGATATGATTTATTCCACAAACTTTTGAGCTGACGTCATCAAGTTTTTGGAGGGGATAAGCAAATATTTTTTGACTAAAGATTTATGATGCTCTTTATAGCCTTAAAACATCTGCAACATTTCAAAGCATTCTGGTTAGCAGATTAAAAATTAAATTTCAAAATGTTGTTTTATAATTTTGATTTTTTTTCCAAAAATCTGGACGTTTCGGGTGAAAAGTCGATTCGGAGTTGTAAACTACATGTGTAGGACTATGTTATTTTATACAATTGAAAACCCATTTACTATGTACAATTTTGAAATGACGTCATCGCATTAGTGGTGGGGATGATTAGACAAATTTTGGTTAGCGTTTTACCATCTACATGATATTCTTAATATAAGTACAAAATTTCACAACAATCGGTCGAGTACTTTCGGAGATTATCTGTCTAATAAAAATCCGGGACAACAGACGGACAGACGGACGGACAGACGGACAGACGGACAGACGGACAGACGGACGGACAGACGGACAGACGGACAGACAGACGGAAATGGGAGACCTATTTCTTCGTCTTCTAGAGGTCATGAAAGATCGAGAAAACGTAAAAGTAGAGAGTCGGCCGACGGACTCGATTACAATACTTCCTTTGCTTACGCTCGGGAAGTAATAATAATAATATTAATAACAATAAGTAATCTAGAAAGATATTTTTGATTTTGAACGGAACTTTATCTGACGCTCTTCATCTAATTCCTCCTCGGCCTGCTTTTTGGCGATCCTTGACTTAACTTTATTCGACCATAAATAGAGAAACGGAAGCGTCTTCAGGACGTGGGGCGGCCTATACCCCTTCCGTAAATAATCTGCAAGAATGTAGTGTCCGTGTTGCTTGGCCGCCGCCACCGCAGTCCGATTCATGTGGTCCATCGAAAAAGGGTCAGCTCCGTGTTCAACCAAAACGATAGCCACCTCCACGTATCCCGTCACTGCCGCAAAATGCAGACAGTTCCTCCCCGAAGCCTCCTCACGTGTGTTAATATCAAATCCATTCTTCAGAAACGCCACCACAAAATCGATGTCGTCCAAGCAGTGACAGCTCAAAATAAGTTCTACAAGCCACAAACTCAACCTCCCTGCCCCCAAACCTTACCAAAAAACAAATGCAGTGACCGCTCCTCTTCGAAATTCATATCGGCCCCATTGTCCAATAGAATCTTCGTGATCGGCAGATTCCTCACCCGGAGAACGCTATAAGACAACGGCGTGTTCTCGTAGTAGTCCATCACGTTAACAGCGGCCTTCTTCTTCAGCAACGTGAGGACCATCCCGTCGTACTCTCTCTCCACCGCCAGGTGCAAAGGAGTCCGCCCGAAGCGGTCCCGGATGTCGGGATTAGCGCCGTTGTTGAGGAGCAACGCCGCGAACTTCTTGCAGTTGAAGTAAGAGGTCAAGTGCAAGGCGGAGTAGCTGTGGACGGTTTTGGCGTCGAGGTCCACCTGTCGATTCAACAGCACCGAGTAACCCAAAATGGAGTCGTTCCTTTCGGCTAGGATGTGAATGGGAGCCACTCCGAAGTCTCTGTTGAGCACATTAGTGTCTACCCCCTTGCTCAAGCAACGCTTGATTTCCGGGACGTTCCTGGTGTAAACAGCGTAGAAGAATTTGTCCTGGAGGATGCTAGCGCCCATATAGGGCATGATGTCGGCTACTTTTGCGCTGAAAGTGACTAGGAGGAGGTGGAGGAAACGAACATATGACGGGTTTACGTTTAGCAGGGCTGCCGTCGAGGTGCGAGCTCAGAGGTTTCTTTTTTTTAGACATTTTCTGATCAGGGTTTGACATTTTGGCACTAATTTGACTGACAGCGTTACGCGGTTTCTATAGTTTATTCAAACAAATACAACAATAGTTATTGTTTAAGTTCAAAAGGTGGTACGTAACCCCCGAATGCCTTCTCAAGTTCGGCCGCCACCGCGATGGTCAAGTGGTCCTGGTGCGGAGCTGCCACCACCTGAAGTCCTAAAGGCACCCCGTGTTTGTCCAAACCCATGGGCACTTGAGTAACGCAGAAATCCAAAGCGTTCCACACGTTAAACAAATTCAAGTTGAAGGGTCTGAAAAGGGACGCGTAGTGGTAACTCGCGGGGAAGGGGGCAGACGGGTATAAAAGTACCCCGTGAGTCCCCAAGGTGTCCTAAAACCAACAAATCAACCAGAACAAAGTTAACAGAACAAACGAACCAAGAGCTTGTTTTTTAAAATTGAAACCACTTCTTTAGCCCAGTTGAGGTTCTCCTTTGGTGCCACGTCCGCTAAGAGACCCATCATGACGAACACGTTAAAGTCGCTCCGGCGCAGTACAAACTTGACTATTTCTTTAAGAGGGTTAACAACCCCTTGGCGGTTCGTCAAATCCTTTCTGAAATTGCAATCAAGAGCGCGGTTCAAAAGCGGGAACCAAACCCTCCCTCCGTACTTCAATTCTTCAATAGTCAACAGATGAGGTTCTTGTGGGAGTACCTTTTTCAAGTACCCGACGGCTTTCAACATCAGTTGGGTCATTTCGTCCCTAAACGGACTAACAAAAAAATCGCCTGGGTCCAGCACGTAGTGGACCTTCACTCCTTCCAAATCCACCCTATCGTCCAAGTTAAGTCTACGTACATTCTCCCCCACCATGACCTTCAAAATGGGCGCAATATCCCCACTTGTCCTCACAAAAATACCAAAACTTGCCATATCCATCTTTCTATCTTGGGTATTAAACATGATCCCTTTTAACGAGACCAAGTGGCTGCAGGTTTTGTGCCCGAATAACCCACACATGAAAGCTGGCAGCCGCACGGACCCACCCATCTCCGTACCAACCCCAAACCCGGACCCACAAGCCGACACGACGGCGGCTTCGCCGCCCGACGATCCCCCCACGGTCCTCCTCGTATCGTAGGGGTTGTTGGTGGTACCGTAAACAGGGTTGCTGGTTTCGGACCAGCCGTTGAGTTGCGGTACGTTGGTGACACCCAACGGGATAGCGCCTGCGCGTTTGAGTAGCAGGATGACGTCGGCGTCGAACGGGGCGGTGTGAGACTTCCGGCTGACAAGTCCCAAAGTGTGGGACAAACCTTTCACGGAAATGGCTTCTTTAGCGGTGAAAGGGACACCTAAATTGGACTTTAGCGAGTTCAAACGCATCGTAAAGAGTTACCTAGGAGTGGTTGACGTTGGAAGTCCTCGTCAGACATGGTACCACTAGCGATTTGTTTATCGATGGTTTGGGCTTCCTGGATGGCTTCGCTGAAGCGATCGTCGACGACTGCGTTCAAAATGGGGTTGGTTTGTCGGATTTGGGTGATGAAGGCACGTACTACTTCCTCGGAGGTGATTTGGCGGGTTTTGATTTGTCGGGCGAGGCTTGAGGCGCCTTCGAGGACGATTTTGGTATTAGGTGGCTGGATTTTCTCGATTTTCCACATAAATTTGTAGTAGAAGGCGAAAATGAAGTCGACGACGAAGTCGAAGTAGTACCGCAGGAGCAAGAACATGGTTTTTGTGAGTGTTCAATTGGTACTAAACGATATCGGTGGTCGTACCATAGAGGTGTTTATACTTATCGCACCTGTAGCTAATTGTTATGGTATTCAACTTGACTTATGAAAAGGAATGTGATAAGGCGAAATGGAAGTGTCTAGTTACGGATAAGGCGTTTTTTTCGTGCTGGTGGTACCCATTTTGGCATTTATTGTTTTCTTTGGCAGTTCTGGGGTCAAGTTTGAACGTCAGTTAGTGAAATTTTCTTAAATGTCAGACAGTGGCGGCTCGTGAGGTTAAATCTCCATTTCTTCGTCGATGTCCACACGTGGAAGCACAGGTTTCGCTTCGTCTTTACACTGCAAACACACTTGCACTCCAAGATCTTCAATAGTCCTGACGTGTTCAATAAAAAGATGAAACGCTTTAGTGGCTTCTGGGTGAAATTTGCTTGTCGTAGTAGTCCGCAAACGGCTGCATATTTTGTAAATTCTGACTCCCCGAATTCATAATTTTGCTACACCAACGATGAAGAAACTCGAAAACTTTGTCTTTGCTTGGACAACGGTCAACAAGTGTGAAGATTGTTGCGAAAATAAGTTGCTTTTCGTCGTTTGTGGTTAACACTTTGAACATGAATGAATACATGGTGTTTAAGTCTCTGGAACCATTTTCCGTCATGAAGTGCTGCTGGATAACCCGTATGCAGAATTCTAGTGGAAGTTCTCCAGCTATTTCCAAGCTCACGCTTGTAAGAATCTTGTTTTTCCCAAATCTCGACGGTGTTTTCCAACCGTTCCCAAGCATATATAACGTACCGAGCTTGGTACTTCCGTGGTATCTTCCCCACGACTTCTGCTACACTTTTCAACGATTCCTCATCAGCTTGGAGGAAAGCTCCTCAGTGATGTAATTAACCACGTTGCGAGATAAATGTCTGGGTGATGTGGTAATGATACGACGATAATAACGATGATAATTGCCTAAGGAGAGAAATCTTTAATCCCCCCGTACCTCAGTCCACGCTGTTTTCTACGGTCTTTTTCCACAGTGGGGCAACATTAGGTTAAATTAATTCCTGATTGTCAAATTGCGTTGGAACTAGTTAACGATTAAACTCCTAACATGAACTGTGAATTTACAAACAATAAAACCAATTTACACTTGTATTAGAAGAATTAGTTACGGGTGTTGGGGAACCTGTGGCGTCGTCGTCGGTACGATTAATTGTCGTTAAACAAAGGCTTCCTCCCTTTTATTAACTACCAAACCAACTAAATTAACCTACCTAACGCACCACGTGGTTTTCACTCACACCACACAACACACAACACACAGTGAAGTCTCTCACCCCTCTCTACAAAGCAAGCCGACATCTTCTAACAACCCTCTACTAAAATTCCAAGCAGCACTACCCACTACCCAAACAGCGTTAACGTGCACATGGTTGCCTCTGTTTAACGATTTTTTGAATGATTTTTTTTTTTCAAATTAAAATTATTCAAATGTTTTTTCAGGACGAAATTTTAATTCAAATTCGGTCGCCACATCGTGACGATTATTTTTATTCTTAGAAACCTAAAACACTTTTGAAAACTTCATTACTATTTAGATAAGGGCAGGTATGGGTGGGTCTTCATCAAATTTTTCTTAATGTACATATTTGAATGATACTCAAAAAAATGTCTTACATTGTAATTTCTCGTAGAAAAATAAGGATTTTACAATTACCTAATCTCCGCCCCTCGGCTTACAACGAATAAAAAAAATCATCAGAATTGAGATAGGGCGGGTGGGCGGGGCTTATATTTTGCCTTTTTTTTCTAAATATACATAGCCATCTTTTCACAACAAGAAATGTCGATTTTGCAATTATAGGGCGGAGCCTAATTGCAAAATCGCTATTTCCTTATACAAATTTTCCATTTTAAACATGTTTTAAGTTTCATATTGTCGAAATAAGTCTGCACATGTTAAGAAAAAAAAAGGCAAACTGTAGCCCCGCCCACCCACCCGGTCTCAATTGTGATGATTTTAACTGCAAAATCCTTATTTCCCTAAGAAAAATTAAAAACATGTTTTTGAGTATCGTGTTCAAAGAATACTATGTATATTAAGAAAAAATTAAGCCCCACCCATACCTGCCCTGATCTAAATAATAAAGTTTTCATTCGTTGACAGACCTAGGGGCGGGGCCTAATTGCAAAATCGATATTTCCTTATACAAATTTTCCATTTTAAACATGTTTTAAGTTTCATATTGTGAAAAGAAGCCTACACATATTAAAACAAAAAGACAAAATATACGCCCGCCCACCCGCCCCGTCTCAATTGTGATGATTTTTTTATTCGTCGTGCGTCAAGAGGGCGGACCTTAACTGCAAAATATTTATTTCTTTACAAGTAATTAAAAACATGTTTTTGAGTGTCGTGTTATTCAAAGAATACTATGTATATTAAGAAAAAAAAATCAAAATATTAACCCCGCCCACCCATCCCATCTCAATTGTAATGATTTTTTTATTGCTAGAAACTTAAAACACGTTTATATGGATTTTGCAATTAGGCTCCGCCCCTAGGTCTCCCAACGAATGAAAACTTCATTATTATTTAGATCAGGGCAGGTATGGGTAGGGCTTAATTTCTTTTTAATATAAACAGTATTATTTGAATAAAACAATACTCAAAACAAATAATTCTTACATAATAATTTCTTGAAGAGTATTAATAACAATTTTGCATTTAAATTCCGCTCCTTTGGCTCTCGACGATTACAAAAAATCATCACAAAATAGACAGGGCGGGTGGGCGGGGCTTATATTTTGCCTTTCTTCTTAATATACGTAGTCGTCTTTCAAAACAAGAAACTTGAAACATGTTTAAAATGGTAATCTTTGCTTTATTTTTTTCTTAATATACATAGTATTCTTTGAACACGATAATCAAAAACAAGTTTTTAATTTTTCGTAGGGAAATAAGGATTTTGCAGTTAAAACTCATCACAATTGAGATATGGTGGGTGGGCGGGGCTACATTTTGCCTTTTTTCTTCTTAACATGTGCAGACTTATTTGACCAAATTCGGTCACCACATCGTGATGATTATTTTTATTCTTAGAAACCTAAAACATGTTTAAAACCGCCAATTTTTGAAAACTTCATTACTATTTAGATTAGGGCAGGTATGGGTGGGTCTTCATCTTTGGTTTTAAATTTTTTTTATGTACATATTTGAATGATACTCAAAGAAATGTCTTACATTGTAATTTCTCGCAAAAAATAAGGATTTTACAATTAATCTCCGCCCCTCGGCTTACAACGAATAAAAAAAAATCATCAGAATTGAGATATGGCGGGTGGGCGGGGCTTATATTTTGCCTTTTTTTTCTAAATATACATGGCCATCTTTTCACAATAAGAAATATCGATTTTGCAATTATAGGACGGAGCCTAATTGCAAAATCGCTATTTCCTTATACAAATTTTCCATTTTAAACATGTTTTAAGTTTCATATTGTCGAAATAAGTCTGCACATGTTAAGAAAAAAAAGGCAAACTGTAGCCCCGCCCACCCACCCGGTCTCAATTGTGATGATTTTAACTGCAAAATCCTTATTTCCCTAAGAAAAATTAAAAACATGTTTTTGAGTATCGTGTTCAAAGAATACTATGTATATTAAGAAAAAATTAAGCCCCACCCATACCTGCCCTGATCTAAATAATAAAGTTTTCATTCGTTGGCAGACCTAGGGGCGGAGCCTAATTGCAAAATCGATATTTCCTTGTACAAATTTTCCATTTTAGACATGTTTTAAGTTCCATATTGTGAAAAGAAGTCTACACATATTAAAACAAAAAGACAAAATATACGCCCGCCCACCCGCCCCGTCTCAATTGTGATGATTTTTTTATTCGTCGTGCGTCAAGTGGGCGGACCTTAACTGCAAAATATTTATTTCTTTATAAGTAATTAAAAACATGTTTTTGAGTGTCGTGTTATTCAAAGAATACTATGTATATTAAGAAAAAAAAATCAAAATATTAACCCCGCCCACCCATCCCATCTCAATTGTAATGATTTTTTTATTGCTAGAAACTTAAAACACGTTTATATGGATTTTGCAATTAGGCTCCGCCCCTAGGTCTCCCAACGAATGAAAACTTCATTATTATTTAGATCAGGGCAGGTATGGGTAGGGCTTAATTTCTTTTTAATATAAACAGTATTATTTGAATAAAACAATACTCAAAACAAATAATTCTTACATAATAATTTCTTGAAGAGTATTAATAACAATTTTGCATTTAAATTCCGCTCCTTTGGCTCTCGACGATTACAAAAAATCATCACAAAATAGACAGGGCGGGTGGGCGGGGCTTATATTTTGCCTTTCTTCTTAATATACGTAGTCGTCTTTCAAAACAAGAAACTTGAAACATGTTTAAAATGGTAATCTTTGCTTTATTTTTTTCTTAATATACATAGTATTCTTTGAACACGATAATCAAAAACAAGTTTTTAATTTTTCGTAGGGAAATAAGGATTTTGCAGTTAAAACTCATCACAATTGAGATATGGTGGGTGGGCGGGGCTACATTTTGCCTTTTTTCTTCTTAACATGTGCAGACTTATTTGACCAAATTCGGTCACCACATCGTGATGATTATTTTTATTCTTAGAAACCTAAAACATGTTTAAAACCGCCAATTTTTGAAAACTTCATTACTATTTAGATTAGGGCAGGTATGGGTGGGTCTTCATCTTTGGTTTTAAATTTTTTTTATGTACATATTTGAATGATACTCAAAGAAATGTCTTACATTGTAATTTCTCGCAAAAAATAAGGATTTTACAATTAATCTCCGCCCCTCGGCTTACAACGAATAAAAAAAAATCATCAGAATTGAGATATGGCGGGTGGGCGGGGCTTATATTTTGCCTTTTTTTTCTAAATATACATGGCCATCTTTTCACAATAAGAAATATCGATTTTGCAATTATAGGACGGAGCCTAATTGCAAAATCGCTATTTCCTTATACAAATTTTCCATTTTAAACATGTTTTAAGTTTCATATTGTCGAAATAAGTCTGCACATGTTAAGAAAAAAAAGGCAAACTGTAGCCCCGCCCACCCACCCGGTCTCAATTGTGATGATTTTAACTGCAAAATCCTTATTTCCCTAAGAAAAATTAAAAACATGTTTTTGAGTATCGTGTTCAAAGAATACTATGTATATTAAGAAAAAATTAAGCCCCACCCATACCTGCCCTGATCTAAATAATAAAGTTTTCATTCGTTGGCAGACCTAGGGGCGGAGCCTAATTGCAAAATCGATATTTCCTTGTACAAATTTTCCATTTTAGACATGTTTTAAGTTCCATATTGTGAAAAGAAGTCTACACATATTAAAACAAAAAGACAAAATATACGCCCGCCCACCCGCCCCGTCTCAATTGTGATGATTTTTTTATTCGTCGTGCGTCAAGTGGGCGGACCTTAACTGCAAAATATTTATTTCTTTATAAGTAATTAAAAACATGTTTTTGAGTGTCGTGTTATTCAAAGAATACTATGTATATTAAGAAGAAAAAAAATCAAAATATTAACACCGCCCACCCATCCCATCTCAATTGTAATGATTTTTTTATTGTTAGAAACTTAAAACACGTTTATATGGATTTTGCAATTAGGCTCCGCCCCTAGGTCTGCCAACGAATGAAAACTTCATTATTATTTAGATCAGGGCAGGTCTGGGTGGGGCTTAATTTTTTCTTAATATACATAGTATTCTTTGAAGACGATAATCAAAAACATGTTTTTAATTTTTCGTAGGGAAATAAGGATTTTGCAGTTAAAAATCATCACAATTGAGATAGGGTGGGTGGGCGGGGCTACATTTTGCCTTTTTTTTCTTAACATGTGCAGACTTATTTCGACAAGAAGAAACTTAAAATATGTCTGAAATGGTTAATGTTTGTTAATCAGCTTAAATCTTCCATATTTCTTCTGCAACCACTTTAAATACGGCCAAAGTTGCTATCAAGGGCAACTTGGCAACAGAGTTTATAAATGACAATTTTCAGCTCTAAAAGCAACGAGCGGGAACTTCAACATCAACAGTAAGTTGCTAACGTCATTAAAACCAAATGTTCATAGCATAGTTCCAAATCTGACAAAAATCTACGACGAATTTTCTGCAGAGGACAAAATTTTGGAAATTTTATGACTGAAAGCCGCCAGCATTTCTTCTCAAGACGTGGTTCAGTGAGCTAGAGGAATCAGTGTTGCCACAAGCAAAAAAATAATTGCTCTAGGAACGTTATCAACGTTGCTGATTTATTAATACCATAAAATTGCAAAGATTCTACAACGAATTCTATAAATAGTTTGACTGGTTTGTTCACGCTTCTATTTCATCCTCTGTTTCCATACATGAGGGGCAATCCGTAGTCCATAGCGCATGATCGACTTTGTCTGTACACCTTAAACACACTTGCACTCCGAGATCTTCAATAGTCTTGACATCTTGCAAAAATTTCTTCAAAGCTTTGTTTTCTGACGAACTGTGCCATGGCTTCTTTGAAACTACTTCTAACAGCAGAATTGCCACGTCAGCACTGGCACGTTGCTTCAACATACTGTAATAAACCGCTTCATTTTCGAACCAGTGCCTTTTAAGGTAAATCAAGTTCGAATCCATTTCTTGTGCAAACAGACGAACTACACACGGACCACATTTTGAAACCACTTCTTCGAAGATGATTAAAGTTTTCAATGCCAAGTCGTCGACAGTCCAGAACGGCGATTCCAGTTTCAATCGTAAGAAAAACATCTTAATGAAGTCGGGAAAATTGTCAACGAGTGAAATTTGCTTGTCGTAGTAGTGCACAAACGGTTCCATGTATTTTAAATTCGTACTTCCCGAGTGCATAATTTCGCTATAGAAACCATGGAGAAACTTGAAAACTTCGTTTTTGCTTTGACAACGGTCAACAAGTGTGAAGATTGTTTCGAAAATAAGTTCTTTTTCGTCCTTCGTGGTTAACACTTTGAACATGAATGAATACATAGTGTTTAAGTCTTTGGCATTATTTTTCGTCATGAAGTGCTGCTGGATAACCCGTATGCAGAATTCTAGTGGAAGTTCTCCAGCTATTTCCAAGCTCACCCTCTTAAGAATTTTGTCTTTCAATAGTGACAACTTTTCACAAACCTCCACAGTGTTTTCTAACCGTTCCCATGCGTACACAACGTACCGAGCTTGATACTTCTGTGGTATCTTCCCCACAAGTTTTGTTATACTTTTCAACGATTCTTCATCAGCTTTGCTAATAAAGAGCATGTTCAACTTAACCAGTTCAAACAAAGACTCGGTCGGATTTTTCACAAAGTACTGAATCGTAGCGACAAACATATACTTCTGAAGCGACTCCACCGTTTCGTGCTTATTCAACACCCGAAGCATAGTTTCAACGTTCGCCGGAGTACTAAGCTCACAAGTCATGTAGACGGCATGCTTTCGTACCGACACTGCCTTGTCCGATAGGTAGTTCAAGTACTGAGGAAGTTCGTTTTCTGGTGTTCGATACAACAAGCTGTTCAACGATTTCAGGGCATATTTAAAATAATCTCCCGCGCAGTAACCCAACAACGAAGGAACAACCCTATAGGTCCTCGTGTTTCCAAAACACTTAGCGATGGCACACTGCAAGTTATACAACCTGAGTTGTTTTCCGTCGTGCATGTCCAATTTTCTGTCCGCGGGCTTGTAGGCGTCCCCTAATGCCGCAAAATCGTCAGGTTTCATCAAAACAGACAACGCTGGAACGAGCTTGGGTTTCATTTCGGTGCAATTGTCGTCATGGAGCTTTATTAAACACATCTGGAGCGATTTTTCGTCGAGTTTTAAGTGACTGAACTTTTTAATTTCGCTCCATATTCTGAAACAACTAGAATTAGTACATCTTCTGGTTAAAATATCGAAAATGGTGCTAAACCAAGTGGTAGCTGTAGCGAGGTCGTGTTTCAAAAACCAACAAAAGTCACTCAAGTTGCCAAAGTGTTTGAAACGTTCCCAGTAAATCTGCATATATTCGTTCCTGTGAGGGTTTTCTTCATTGGTGAAAATTTTGCTACGGAACAAAGTGCGTACTCGAGGAAAAAACACAGTCTTACGATTTTTAATAATGTAGTTAAACGCGTCAAGTAGCAGCGGAAAATCATAAAATGTTAGTTGGTCGTCTTTAAAGTCTTCATTCCACTTATCAATCTCAAGAATTAAGTTGTAGTAAGCGTTTAAACTTTCGAGTCGAAGGGTGTCTCCAAGTCGCTTTATACTAAACTCCAAAAAGTATTTGGCAAAGTTTTTATCGTACTCTTTGTATTCAGGGTACGCAAAATTTCGATTGAAATATTGTTCAAATAACTTATCTATGGACTGGTTCTTTTTGAACACACTCTCCATATAAGAAAACTTCAAGTGAGCAGAAGTTCTTGTATCGAAATATTCGAAATCAAGTAGAAGCATTGGCTGAGTGTGCAGCAACACACTTAACATGTTCCACATTTCTTCAGTCAAGTTTTGAAAACCTACAACCTTTCGGATGTTACGGATAAATTTTAAACGAAATGAGATGTCCTCGTGTACGTAATTCAAACTAAAATATTTTATAATTTCAAGTAAAGCGTCCATGTTTTTGTTAATCTCGCACGTTTCCAGTAGCGATTTTGTTAGTTTACTTTTTTCGGTGATCCTCGACGCTGAGTCGATTTTTTCTTTGATACGTGGAACAGATTGTTCAGTGGGTAAGTACTTGAGGTATTTGTGGTGGCCTGCGTCGACTTTAACTCTTGCTAAAGCTGCTCGTTCCGCGTCGTCTGGTATAACTTTTAGTAGATCTTCATCAATCAGTGACGGATAATCAGCAAACTCTATATTGTAGTGGGCTTGAAAAGTTTGCACGAATAAGCTATAGTGGTACTTTTTGTCGAAACTGCGAAAGAGCCAGTCGATGTTAAAGCAGTTGTTAATTTGAAGAGGGAGAGCATTGGTGAAGATTTGTACACAGTCGGTACCAATTTTTCTTAAGGCGGCTTTCATGTCTATGTGTTCGAAGGCGTAAGGGTCCTTAAGTATTTCATCTCTTTTGACCGCTACGTACTTCTTTGTAGCTCGTCGGCCAAGTTTTGGCCACAAATTATACTTATCTTTCAGATACTTAAACAAGTCGTGGTCGGTACCACCAATAAACTTAACCAGACTATAGTAACAGCAGTCATTCAACGAATTTTTGCTACAACTAAAGTAAAAATCGACAAGTCCGGGGTCCTTCTCGTACATAATTCGCAACTGTTTTGACTTCAATTGTACAGGATAGTCCACTATAACTTGTTTTATTTTATCAGGACCACACCCAGTAATAAACTGCGCCGCCAAATAAATCCCGTATCGACGGACAACCGCGTCAAACACTTCACCGAACTTTTCACACCCAGCGTACCTACTCATCTTCCTCAGTACCTTCATACGAACCGAAAAAGACAAGCACGGTAAAATTTCATTCACCAGTTGCTCCCCCGACACGTCCTCGAACCCATCCTTGAAAAACCAAGTCTGCTTCACCACTTTACTGACAAACACGTCGTTTCCTTCCTTCAATAACTCCCACAATTCGCGCCTCCGTCGAAAGTAAATCAGAAAATCCACTCTAAATAAGCTCTCGAGGTGCGTTCGAGGGTTTAAGTTTGCCGCGATGGCATCCAGCGCCCCCACGTTGTCCTTCAGCGCCGGGGCGAGCTGGTGCAGAAGCTTGAAGAAGTTTCGATGTCTGTGGGCAATGGTGTCTCCTTCGAGGCGGTGGAAGCCGTCTAGGAAGTGGTCGACGACGGTTGCCATTGCTTCGATCCTGAAAAAATACGTGGGTTGGGTACAAAAGTGTATTAGCGTCCTTTCGAGCTGAAAATTGTATGCAAATAAAATTGAATGTTGCCGAAATAAGTCTACACATATGAAGAATAAAAGGTGATAAATCCCGCCAGCTCGACTAGGAACCGCGCCCTCCGCTTCTGCCAGGTATTTCGGTGTTATTTGATCTCAATTCCATTTAAATGTTCAATTTCTATGACTCTGATATTAAACTACAACTGGACAAGTGTCAAAGTTTCAAAATGAGCAATAAACAACATTCGTCATACACTCTCGTGAAATATTAAACAGCAAAGATTTGTAAAAACAAAAAGACAAAAAATTACGTAAGGTTAGAAACTGCATAGCATGAAAATTTTAGTTCAATTTAAATTACACTGTTTATCCCAAACAAAACACATGATAAATGAACAACACAAAATTTATCAGGCGTTGCGAGGAAAGCTCCCACGATAATAACGATAATAACTGCCTAAGAAGAGAAATCTTTAATTCCCCCGTACCTCACGCAGTTTTCTACGGTCTTTTTCCACAGTGGGGCAACGTTAGGTTAAATTAATTCCTGATTGTTAAATTGCGTTGGAACTAGTTAACGATTAAACTCCTAACATGAACTGTGAATTTACAAACAATAAAACAAATTTACACACGTGTTAATGTCGGTCAAAAATCCACATTTTTCCGCTTCGAAAGCCGAAATAATTAGTTACTCACCAACTAAATTAACTTAGCTAACTACCACGTGGTTTTCACTCACACCACACCACACACAGTGAAGTCTCTCACCGCTTTCTACAAAGCAAGCCACCCTCGTCAAACAACCCTCTAACTAAAATTCCAAGCAGAACTACCCACTACTCGAAAAGCGTTAACGTGCACATGGTTGCCTATGTTTAACGATTTTTTTTCAAATAAATTATTCAAATGTGTTTTTAATTTCTCGTAGATAAATAACGATTTTGCAGTTAAGCTCCGCCTTCTTGGCTCACCCTAGCGACATACACACCAATTTGACAACAATCGATCCAGTAGTTTCGGAGATTAGTGTCCAATAAAAAGCTGATTACTACAAAAATTTACCATTTTAGACATGTTGTAAGCTTCTTGTTGTCGAAATAAGGCTTCACGTATTAAGAAAACAAGGCAAAATGTAGCCCCGCCCACCCACCCTATCGCAATTGTGATGATTTTTTTTTATTCGTCGTGAGCCAAGGGGACAGAGTTTAATTGCAAAATCACTTACAAAAATTTACCATTTTAAATGTGTTTCAGGTTTCTAAGAATAAAAAAAATTATCACAATGGAGATAGGGCGGGTGGGCGGGCTACATCTTGCCTTTTTTCCTTAATATGTCTAGCGAGACGGATGGGTGGGGCTTCTCTTTTGGTGTTCTGTTTTAATTAATACATTTATTAAGAACATATTCACATGGTAATTTCTCGTAGAAAAATAAGGATTTTACAATTAAGCTCCGCCCCTCGGCTTACGACGAATAAAAAAAATCATCAGAATCGAGACAGGGCGGGGGGGTGGGGCTGATATTTTGCTTTTTTTTTTCTTAACATACATAGCCAATTTTTCGCAACAAGAAACTTAAAACGTGATAAAAATGGTTCATTTTTACAAGGAAATATCGATTTTGCAATTATGGGGCGGAGTCTAATTGCAAAATCGATATTTCCTTATACAAATTTTCTGCTTTAAACATGTTTTAAGTTTGTTGTTGTGAAAAAAGTCTACACATATTAAAACAAAAAGGCAAAATGTAAACCCGCCCACCCGCCCTGTCTCGATTGTGATGATTTTTTTTATTCGCCGTGAATCTAGAGGACGGAGTTTAACTGCAAAATACTGATTTCTTTACAAGAAATTAAAACCGTAGTTTTGAGTATCGTGTTGTTCCAAGAATACTAGGCATAATAAGAAAAAAGAAAAATTATACACCCCGCCCACCCACCCCATCTCAATTGTAACGATTTTTTTATTGTTAAAAACTTAAAACACGTTTAATACGGATTTTGCAATTAGGCTCCGCCCCTAGGTCTGCCAAAGAATGAAAACTTCATTATTATTTAGATCAGGGCAGGTATGGGTGGGGCTTAATTTTTTTTTAATATAAACAGTATTCTTTGAATAAAACAATACTCAAAACAAATTCTTACATAATAATTTCTTGAAGAGTATTAATAACAATTTTGCATTTAAATTCCGCTCCTTTGGCTCTCGACGATTACAAAAAATCATCACAAAATAGACAGGGCGGGTGGGCGGGGCTTATATTTTGCCTTTCTTCTTAATATACGTAGTCGTCTTTCAAAACAAGAAACTTGAAACATGTTTAAAATGGTAATTTTTGGCTTTATTTTTTTCTTAATATACATAGTATTCTTTGAACACGATAATCAAAAACAAGTTTTTAATTTTTCGTAGGGAAATAAGGATTTTGCAGTTAAAAATCATCACAATTGAGATAGGGTGGGTGGGCGGGGCTACATTTTGACTTTTTTCTTCTTAACATGTGAAGACTTATTTGAACAAATTCGGTCACCACATCGTGATGAGTATTTTTATTCTTAGAAACCTAAAACTTGTTTAAAACCGCCAATTTTTGAAAACTTCATTACTATTTAGATTAGGGCAGGTATGGGTGGGTCTTCATCTTTGGTTTAATTTTTTTTTTATGTATATATTTGAATGATACTCAAAAAAATGTCTTACATTGTAATTTCTCGCAAAAAATAAGGATTTTACAATTAATCTCCGTCCCTCGGCTTACATCGAATAAAAAAAAATCATCAGAACTGAGATAGGGCGGGTGGGCGGGGCTTATATTTTGTCTTTTTTTCTAAATATACATAGCCATCTTTTCAGAACAAGAAATATTGATTTTGCAATTATAGGGCGGAGCCTAATTGCAAAATTGATATTTCCTTATACAAATTTTCCATTTTAAACATGTTTTAAGTTTCATATTGTCGAAATAAGGCTGCACATGTTATGAAAAAAAAAAAAGCAAAATGTAGCCCCGCCCACCCACCCGGTCTCAATTGTGATGATTTTAACAGCAAAATCCTTATTTCCCTAAGAAAAATTAAAAACATTACTGGTTGCCATTACTGCAGCTGAAAAGCGCAATTTGGTCGAGTGTCACTGCGCAAAAGGTCATCAAACGTACTAGAACTTTGAAAAATTTGCAAGTGTTTTCACTGTTTTCGTATTAACTAAATTTAAATTACGATAAGTGAGAACAGTAATATACTTACCACACTATTATTATTATTATTATTATTATTGTTGTTCTAACTGGTTCTAGTTTGACGTTGACCTCAAAGATTGTCACTATGGATTATTATTGAAAGAATTATACACAATATCACTTTAAAAATGCACAGATACTATTTATTTTTAGCACGACAGGACCGTCATTGGGATTTTTACGCCCACCTAGACAAAGTCGAATGCGCAGTTCTGTGTATAATGGGTTGCATAATAACGTGTAATATGAATTTTCCAATCACGCTTTTCTAATCAGTTTTTTTCTGTTGCCTTTAATGTCTTTATTATCCTCCAGTTTTCACAGACGTAAACACTAAGCCCCATACTTTACATAAAACCTTGAAACTCGTACCCAGTCTACAATTATCTTCAATGTTCATTATTCATTAAACGTATGACAACAGGATCATTTGCGTTAATGTAAGTTCCAAGAAAACCATAAATATTTATTAGCACTGAATTTATATTAAAAAACAGAAGTCTAAAAACTCCTCACACACAGAACAAACCTCATTCCGGAAATAAAACCTCCATCAATCCCTAAAAACACTCCATATCGCTTTAAACGGAAGCTTACTGACCGCACCAGAAAAACTGTGAAACCAACACCCAACACATTCACCGCCAGTTCCAACCATGAACACCAAACTCGTCCTCCTCCTCCAGGTGGTCCTCCTCGTGGTAAGCGCCCCCAAAGCACAAACCCATAAACCCTCTGTCACTAAACCCCCCAGGACGCCTCGTCTCGTTCCCGCTACAGCCACCGCACCCACGAAGCCGTCAAGCAACCCGACAGCTTCGACTGCATGTTCAACATCTGCGAAAGCGACCCTCACTACCCCGAGGAGGCCGTGAAACGCATCGTCAACCAGCACCGCTCTTTCCACTCCTTCCTCACCGGGAGGGTCATCGAGCCCATCCAGGGCGTCTCGATTTCCACGCGCTCGCACAAAGAGTCCAAGCCGTTCTGTAAGATGGTGGACGTCCAGGTGACCCCGAAGATGATGACGGACGTGGAGAACGTGAAAAGGCGCATCGTGAATGTGAAGAACCATAGCCAGATTTTGAAGTTCCAGAAGTGCAAGTAGGTGGGTGGCGTCGATGGGGTGGTTATTTATGGGTTGTTTTTTAGCTTGGAAGGGGGCGATCAGTGCTACGAGGAGAGGATTTTGGATATTAAGACCAAGTGCGTGCAGATGTATAGCAATATTAAGCTGGTGACGGCGGATGTTACCAACGAGGTGTTGGAGTATCACATCTTCAGGATTCCGACGACCTGTGTTTGTACTTATATTAAGAAGTTTACTTAAGTTGAGGAAGGGCTGTTAATTAATTAATTATGATTAGAGTGCTTGTTTTCAGATTTTAACAGTGTAGTCTGGGTTGCATACTTACGAGAAAAATGAATTGGTGTATTTTGGGTTGCATACCTAAATGAACAATCACTATTTCCATTGTTATCTCTTATTTGGATGTAATAATAGTAATAATAATAAACAAAATTGGTCGAAGGCTTTTTCGTCAGTACTTCCCTCGCCCCTGAAGTTTCGATTTTTTATTTATTTATTTATTTCAATTTTTTGTGCCCAGGAAGTAATAATAAATGCTAGTTATTTTTATCTTATATTTTATTAACTATCTACAAAATCTTGACACGTATCACATATATGAAACAATTGTACATCCTTACATCTAAATAAATATAAATACAAAGATCTATAAAAGTACGAAAATAAAAAACACTGGAAATTTAAAAGCCTCGCCTCGCTCCTAACCTCGACGCTCTACAAAACAATGGCACTTTTATGTACATCCGTTAAAAATTCAAGGCACATTTACAAGGAATCTAGTACTGAAAACCCGCAGTCCGTCTCTCTCCTTCCTCCACGAGAAAAACTCCCACAGACTCCACGTAAACATCAATATCCACGTTTATTTTCCTACATCACGTAACGACATGTTATGACATCCCATAAACATCGGCACATTCCCATGCTCCGCGATCACAGCGTATGTACACCAGGCCGCCGCCGGCGGCTCAGATGACCGTCTCGCCGCCGCCCCGCAGGTGGTGCACCCTCGGCTTCCTGTGCGCGTGCGAGCGCGCCGAGTGCCGGCTGCCGGTGCTCATGTTGCTGACGCTGGGGTGCGCCGGCACGAACCGCAGGGCCGGCATGGACTGCATCTTGACCGGGAGCTGCTTGCGCGGGCCCATCCGCCGCAGTACCGCCCGCCACGCCGTCACCGTCTTCATGGACCAGATCCAGAACACGGTGCTCACGCCGATGAACAGGGACATGAGGTGGCGCAGAAGGAAGGCCCACAGGGCGGGTTTGCTCTCGCCGCTGAGCCACTGCCGCCGGTTGCTGTACTCGTAGTAGATGCTGGCCAGGACGCAGAACGTGGGGATGGCGTAGAGGGTGCACACGGCCCCCAGGAAGTCGCTCTCTTTGCGCGGCGTGGAGGCGGTGAGGGGGGCGGCGGCCGACGGGCGCGGCTTGCGCACGACGTAGACGCAGCCGAGGACGAGGAGGAAGGCGCCGAGGAGGAAGTAGACGAAGTCGGGGATGAGCACAAGGGCGAGAAGGGTTGTGGAGTTGCGGTTGCCGATGTAACAAGTGCCTGCAACAAGAAGGGGATTAAAATTAATTAACAATTATTCAGTTGTATATCGAAATTTTAATTTGTATTTTTGTAAATACTGACAAGGATGAGTCGATTACAAATTATGTTGTTTGCCCGATATTTAGTTATGTATAATATTTATTTGGTGTAAACTGGAGATATTGTAACAAATAAATTAACTATATTAGCAAAAAACGCAACAGAATGCGGCAAAAATTTAAATTTATTCAACCCGCAATACTTCATAATTTAGCTACTCTACTCAAACACAGAGGGCGCTGTGGCAAAACCATGACACCACCAATTGGATGTCGCACTCTTCAAGAACTTGAAAGAATTTTGAAGAGTCTCGGTGACTCTTGAGGCCTTCAAATATCTTTTTTTTTAAGAACCTTAAAGAATCATGACAGGGTTAAAGATTGTGGAAGAATTTTAGGAGGCCCTGATGTTTTGTTCCAGAAAAAAATTTAAAGAATCTCGGGGCCTCTGGTATTTTATTTCCGAAGAAATTTGATAGAATCTTGAGATTCCTCATGATCTTGGTTTTAAAGAACATAAAAGAATCTTGGGGCCCTCAAGTATCTTTTTTCTAAGAACCTGAAAGAATCTTGAAGGGCTCAAACTTGTGAAAAAATCTTGGAAGCTTCTGATCCTACGCTTGAGAAAAAAAATCAAAGAATCTCTGGAGCCTTCGACGTTTTGTTTTCGAAGAAGCTTGAAAAAATCTTGAGATTCCTCATGATCTTGGTTTTAAAGAACATAAAAGAATCTTGGGGCCATCAAGTATCTTTTTTCTAAGAACCTGAAAGAATCTTGAAGGGCTCAAACTTGTGAAAAAATCTTGGAAGCTTCTGGTCCTCCACTTGAGAAAAAAAATCAAAGAATCTCTGGAGCCTCCGACGTTTTGTTTTCGAAGAAGCTTGAAAAAATCTTGAAATTCCTCATGATCTTGGTTTTAAAGAACATAAAAGAATCTTGGGGCCCTCAAGTATCTTTTTTCTAAGAACCTGAAACAATCTTGAAGGGCTCAAACTTGTAAAAAAATCTTGGAAGCTTCTGATCCTACGCTTGAGAAAAAAAATCAAAGAATCTCTGGAGCCTTCGACGTTTTGTTTTCGAAGAAGCTTGAAAAAATCTTGAGATTCCTCATGATCTTGGTTTTAAAGAACATAAAAGAATCTTGGGGCCCTCAAGTATCTTTTTTCTAAGAACCTGAAAGAATCTTGAAGGGCTCAAACTTGTGAAAAAATCTTGGAAGCTTCTGGCCCTCCGCTTGAGAAAAAAAAACAAAGAATCTCTGGAGCCTCTGACGTTTGGTTTTCGAAGAAGTTTGAACAAATCTTGAGGTTCGTTAATGTCTTGGTTTTAAAGAATGTGAAAAAATCATGAGGCCCTCAAATATCTTTTTTTTTAATAACCTTAAAGAATCTTGAAAGGGTTAAAGATTGTGGAAGAATTTTAGGAGGCCCTGATATTTTGTTCCAGAAAAAAATTTAAAGAATCTCGGGGCCTCTGGTATTTTATTTTCGAAGAAGTTTAATAGAATCTTGGGATTCCTCAGGTTCTTAGCTTTAAAGAACAAAAGAATCTTGGGGCCCTCAAGTATCTTTTTTTTTAAATCTGAAAGAATCTTGAAGGGCCCAAACTTGCGAAAAAATGTTTGGAACTCCTGGACCTACGTTTCACAAAAAAATTTAAAGAATCTCGGGACGCTCCTGTGTTTTATTTCCGAAGAAGTTTGAAAAAATCTTAGGTTTCTTAGTGTGTTGATTTTAAAAAATGTGAAAAAATCTTGAGGCCCTCAAATATCTTTTTTTTTTTAATAACCTTAAAAAATCTTGAAAGGGTTAAAGATTGTGGAAGAATTTTAGAAGGCCTTGATGTTTTGTTCCAGAAAAAAATTTAAAGAATCTCGGGGCCTCTGGTGTTTTATTTTCGAAGAAGTTTAATAGAATCTTGAGATTCCTCAGGTTCTTAGCTTTAAAGAACAAATGAATCTTGGGGCCCTCAAGTATTTTTTTTAAGAATCTGAAAGAATCTTGAAGGGCCCAAACTTGCGAAAAAATCTTGGGACCTCCTGGCTCTACGTTTCCGAAAAAAAATTAAAGAATCTCGGGAACCTCCCGCGTTTTATTTTCGAAAAAGTTTCAAAAAATCTTAGGTTTCTTAGTGTGTTGGTTTTAAAAAATATGAAAAAATCTTGAGGCCCTCACATATCTTTTTTTTTTTAATAACCTTAAAAAATCTTGAAAGGGTTAAAGATTGTGGAAGAATTTTAGAAGGCCTTGATGTTTTGTTCCAGAAAAAAATTTAAAGAATCTCGGGGCCTCTGGTGTTTTATTTTCGAAGAAGTTTAATAGAATCTTGAGATTCCTCAGGTTCTTAGCTTTAAAGAACAAATGAATCTTGGGGCCCTCAAGTATTTTTTTTAAGAATCTGAAAGAATCTTGAAGGGCCCAAACTTGCGAAAAAATCTTGGGAGCTCCTGGCTCTACGTTTCCGAAAAAAAATTAAAGAATCTCGGGAACCTCCCGCGTTTTATTTTCGAAAAAGTTTTAAAAAATCTTAGGTTTCTTAGTGTGTTGGTTTTAAAAAATATGAAAAAATCTTGAGGCCCTCACATATCTTTTTTTTTTTAATAACCTTAAAAAATCTTGAAAGGGTTAAAGATTGTGGAAGAATTTTAGAAGGCCTTGATGTTTTGTTCCAGAAAAAAATTTAAAGAATCTCGGGGCCTCTGGTGTTTTATTTTCGAAGAAGTTTAATAGAATCTTGAGATTCCTCAGGTTCTTAGCTTTAAAGAACAAATGAATCTTGGGGCCCTCAAGTATTTTTTTTAAGAATCTGAAAGAATCTTGAAGGGCCCAAACTTGCGAAAAAATCTTGGGAGCTCCTGGCTCTACGTTTCCGAAAAAAAATTAAAGAATCTCGGGAACCTCCCGCGTTTTATTTTCGAAAAAGTTTTAAAAAATCTTAGGTTTCTTAGTGTGTTGGTTTTAAAAAATGTGAAAAAATCTTGAGGCCCTCACATATCTTTTTTTTTAATAACCTTAAAAAATCTTGAAAGGGTTAAAGATTGTGGAAGAATTTTAGGAGCCCCTGATGTTTTGTTGCAGAAAAAAAATTTAAAGAAACTCGGGGCCTCTGGTATTTTATTTTCGAAGAAGTTTAATAGAATCTTGAGATTCCTCAGGTTCTTAGCTTTAAAGAACAAAAGAATCTTGGGGCCCTCAAGTATCTTTTTTTTTAAGAATCTGAAAGAATCTTGAAGGGCCCAAACTTGTGAAAAAATCTTGGGAGCTCCTGACCTACGTTTCAGAAAAAAATTTAAAGAATCTCGGGAGCCCCCTGTGTTTTATTTTCGAAGAAGTTTGAAAAAATCTTAGGTTTCTTAGTGTCTTGGTTTTAAAGAATGTGAAAAAATCTTGAGGCCCTCAAATATCTTTTTTTTAATAACCTTAAAAAATCTTGAAGGTTTTAAAGATTGTGGAAGAATTTTAGGAGACCCTGATGTCTTGTTCCAGAAAAAAATTTAAAGAATCTCGGGGCCTCTGGTATTTTATTTTCGAAGAAGTTTAATAAAATCTTAAGATTCCTCAGGTTCTTAGCTTTAAAAAACAAAAGGATTTTGGGGCCCTTAAGTATCTTTTTTTTTAAGAATCTGAAAGAATCTTGAAGGTCCAAACTTGTGAAAAAATCTTGGGAGCTCCTGGACCTACGTTTCAGAAAAAAATTTAAATAATCTCGGGAGCCTCCTGTGTTTTATTTTCGAAGAAGTTTGAAAGAATCTTAGGTTTCTTAGTGTCTTGGTTTTAAAGAATGTGAAAAAATCTTGAGGCCCTCAAATATCTTTTTTTTTAATAATCTTAAAGAATCTTGAAAGGGTTAAAAATTGTGAAAGAATTTTAGGAGGCCCTGATGTTTAGTTCCAGAAAAAAATTTAAAGAATCTCGCGGCCTCTGGTATTTTATTTTCGAAGAAGTTTAATAAAATCTTGAGATTCCTCAGGTTCTTAGCTTTAAAGAACAAAAGAATCTTGGGGCCCTCAAGTATCTTTTTTTTTAAGAATCTGAAAGAACTTGAAGGGCCCAAACTTGTGAAAAAATCTTGGGAGCTCCTGGCCTTGCGTTTCCGAAAAAAATTCAAAGAATCTCGGAAGCCTCCTGTGTTTTATTTTCGAAGAAGTTTGAAAAAATCTTAGGTTTCTTAGTGTCTTGGTTTTAAAGAATGTGAAAAAATCTTGAGGCCCTCAAATATCTTTTTTTTAATAACCTTAAAGAATCTTGAAAGGGTTAAAGATTGTGGAAGAATTTTAGGAGACCCTGATGTTTTGTTCCAGAAAAAAATTTAAAGAATCTCGGAGCCTCTTATTTTCGAAGAAGTTTAATAAAATCTTTAGATTCCTCAGGTTCTTAGCTTTAAAGAGTAAAAGAAGCTTGAAAAAATCTTGAGGTTCCTTAATATCTTGGTTTTAAAGAATGTGAAAAAATCTTGAGGCCCTTCAGTCTTTTTTTTTAAGAACATTAATCTTGGGGGTCTCTGGTATTTTATATCTGAAGAAATTTGATAAAATCTTGAAATTCCTCATGAACTTGGTTTTAAAGAACATAAAAGAAATCTTGGGACCCTCAAGTATCTTTTTTCTAAGAACCTGAAAGAATCTTGAAGGGCTCAAACTTGCGAAAAAATCTTGGAAGCTCCTGGTCCTGCGCTTGAGAAAAAAAATCAAAGAATCTCTGGAGCCTCTGAGGTTTTGCTTTCGAAGAAGCTTGAAAAAATCTTGAGGTTCCTTCATGTCTTGGTTTTAAAGAATGTGAAAAAATCTTGAGGCCCTTCAGTCTTTTTTTTTAAGAACATTAATCTTGGGGGTCTCTGGTATTTTATATCTGAAGAAATTTGATAAAATCTTGAGATTCCTCATGATCTTGGTTTTAAAGAACATAAAAGAAATCTTGGGACCCTCAAGTATCTTTTTTCTAAGAACCTGAAAGAATCTTGAAGGGCTCAAACTTGCGAAAAAATCTTGGAAGCTCCTGGTACTGCGCTTGAGAAAAAAAAATCAAAGAATCTCTGGAGCCTCTGATGTTTTGTTTTCGAAGAAGTCTGAACAAATCTTGAGGTTCCTTAAGTCTTGGTTTTAAAGAACGTCAAAAAATCTTGAAGCCCTTAAGTATCTTTGTTTTTAGAACCTGAAAGAATCTTGAAGGGCTCAAGATTGTGGAAGAATTTTGGGAGGCTGTGATGTTTTGTTCCAGAAAAAAATTTAAAGAATCGCGAGGCTTCTGGTATTTTATTTCTGAAGAAATTTGATAGAATCTTGAGATTCCGCATGATCTAGGTTTTAAAGAACATAAAAGAATCTTGGGGCTCTCAAGTATCTTTTTTCTAAGAACCTGTAAGAATCTTGAAGGGCTCAAACTTGTGAAAAAATCTTGGAAGCTCCTAGTCCTGCGATTGAGAAAAAAAATCAAAGAATCTTTGGAGCCTCTGACGTTTTGTTTTCGAAGAAGTTTGAACAAATCTTGAGGTTCCTTAATGTCTTGGTTTTAAAGAATGTGAAAAAATCTTGAGGCCCTTAAGTATCTTTTTTTTAAGAACCTGAAAGAATCTTGAAGGGCTCAAGATTGTGGAAGAATTTTGGGAGGCTGTGATGTTTTGTTCCAGAAAAAAAATTACAGAATCTCACGCCCTCTGGTATTTTATTTCCGAAGAAATTTGATAGAATCTTGAGATACCTCATGATCTTGGTTTTAAAGAACATAAAAGAATCTTGGGGCCCTCAAGTATCTTTTTTCTAAGAACCTGAAAGAACCTTGAAGGGCTCAAACTTGTGAAAAAATCTTGGAAGCTCCTGGTCCTGCGCTTGAGAAAAAAAATCAAAGAATCTCTGGAGCCTCTGACGTTTTGCTTTCGAAGAAGCGTGAAAAAATCTTGAGGCCTTTAAGTATCTTTTTTTTTTTAGAACCTGAAAGAATCTTGAAAGGCTCAAGATTGTGGAAGAATTTTGGCAGGCTGTGATGTTTTGTTCCAGAAAAAATTTAGAGAATCTCGGGGCCTCTGGTATTTTATTTCCGAAGAAATTTGATAGAATCTTGAGATTCCTCATGATCTTGGTTTTAAAGAACATAAAAGAATCTTGGGGCCCTCAAGTATATTTTTTCTATGAACCTGAAAGAATCTTGAAGGGCTCAAACTTGTGAAAAAATCTTGCAAGCTCCTGGTACTGCGCTTGAGAAAAAAAATCAAAGAATCTCTGGAGCCTCTGACGTTTTGCTTTCGAAGAAGCGTGAAAAAATCTTGAGGTTCATTGATCTTTTGGTTTTATACAATGTGAAAAAATCTTAAGGCCTTTAAGTATCTTTTTTTTTAGAACCTGAAAGAATCTTGAAGGGCTCAAGATTGTGGAAGATTTTGAGAGGCTGTGATGTTTTGTTCCAGACAAAAATTTAAAGAACCTCGGGGCTCCTGGTATTTTATTTCCGAAGAAATTTGATAGAATCTTGAGATTCCTCATGATCTTGGTTTTAAAGAACATAAAAGAATCTTGGGGCCCTCAAGTATCTTTCTTCTAAGAACCTGAAAGAATCTTGAAGGGCTCAAACTTGTGAAAAAAATCTTGGAATCTCTGGAGCCTCTGACGTTTTGTTTTCGAAGAAGTTTGAACAAATCTTGAGGTTCCTTAATGTCTTGGTTTTAAAGAATGTCAAAAAATCTTGAGGCCCTTAAGTATCTTTTTTTAAGAACCTTAAAGAATCTTGAAGGGCTCAAGATTGTGGAAGAATTTTGGGAGGCTGTGATGTTTTGTTCCAGAAAAAGAATTTTGGGCCCTCTGGTATTTTATTTTCAAAGAAGATCTTTAAATTCCTCAGGGTCTTGGCTTTAAAGAATATAAAAGAATCTTGGGGCCCTCACGTTCAAAGAATTCTTTAAAAACTTGAAAGAATCTTGACGGAATTAAATTTAAAGAATCTCGGGGACCCATGGTATTTTGTTCTTGAAAAAGTTTGAAGTTGTAAATACAGACAAGGATGACTCGATTACAAATTATATTGTGCGCCCGATATTTAGTAATATGTAATAGTAATTATTTGGTGTAAATTGGTGATACCGTAACAAATAAATTTTTAAAAAGTGCTTTATGCAACCCACAATACTTCGAAATTTAGTTCCTCTATTCAAACACAGATGTCGCTCCGTGTTAAAACCATAAATTCCACCCATTCCGCCCACTGGACCTCCTGCTATTCTTCAGAATGAACATTTTCGTATCTTCAACATACTGAACAAGAAAATAGCGGCCTGCACCCTCAAGAAATGCCAAAAACTCAATATCCCCTAATGTCAATTATGCAACCAACAAGGCGGTTCCATCCCCTCGTCCGACCCTGTCCCGTGATTTATCCCAGCAACAGGTCGCTCCGTGGGCAGACAAAGCCAGCCCAGATCTCCCAGCTGTTTTGCATGCCAGCCGATTCGCGCTTGTTACCGGTCGTGCTGGTGACAGTCGAATGCCCCGACCCATTAATCACGGCCGCAACCAGCGACCCACAAAAGTTGCCGAGAGGCGAGCAACAAGGGTCGACTTTGAAGCCGCTTCGGAGAACTCTTATCAGATCCAAAGTCGCCCGTTATAATTTGCTTTTCAACAAAGCGCTGGCTGGCCGGGCACCGGCTGTAATTTATTACAGATTCGGATCTCGCATTTTTGCGGCCATCGGTCGGGGGAGGCTCGGTCGGCGGGAATTCCGGGTGGCGGCAAAAAGCGGCAGGCACGCGTTGACGCGCTCGTTCGGCATTCCGGCCGATTTTTACCAACGTGCTAATGGCTCTATCGAGGAAGCGCAAGAATCCGGGCAAAAACTAGCCGCGCTCTGTCAGTCAGTAGGGCGATTCGGGGGCGGCACTTACCGGTGAGTTCGTCGGAGTCCACGTCCCGGCGCACGAGGGCGGCGACGGTCTGGGCGGCGGGGACGCTCCAAGCGCACACGTGCAGCGCGGAGCCCAGGCTGCGGAGCCTCTCGGGGGACCAGGACAGCCCCACGCGGGCGACCCACCAAGCGCACAGGCAGACCCACCTAGAACAAAAAAGAACAAAATAGAAAATCTAGACACAAGTCCAAGTAAGTGAGTTTACCGAACAGATGGAGCCAGTATTGCAAGTCCATCTGTTCGGTAACCGGCGTGCCATGTGTCGGCCGTCCTCTCTCCTCTTCCGTCACGTCAACACCTCGCCGGCGACGGGTTAATGGGAGCGAAGGACGGACGGCTCGGACGTGCACCGGTGTCTTGCGGGACGTAATCTAGTTAAGAATGAGTCAGGTAAGAATTCGAAGGCGTTCCGATCGAGTTGGCCGTTGCGTCACAGAACAATGGAGCATCTTATTAAGTCGACGAGCTCGTTTGTTTTGGTCGTGTTCGGCCGCTTTCCCTCCAGCCAACTGTATCTCGTAAATCTGCTTCGCAAAGAAAGCTCGCGGAATGCGCCAGGGCGGGAATGAATCGCGGAAAAAGGGCCCTCTGTTCCGGCTCCCCTCGACTGTGATATATCAAACCGAAAATACTTTTATCTGAGAGTATTAATCGCGGATCAAAAGCAGCCGAACGATAGCGCTATCGCTCGAGTGCTCCTCGATTGCCGGTCTTTGGCAAAAACGCCGGTTGCGATAAGCGGCTTTTGGCGGCGGCGTTATCGCCCAATTAAGTTGATCTGCGGAGACAAATATTTATGAATTGTAACGAAAGCATCGGAAGCGACTACGCGACGAGGTGTCAAACACGTCGTTAGGTAAAGATAATTCAAGCAGCGGCGGTCTTCCAAATATTTGACTTGACAGTCACCTGCCTGCTTGTTTGCTCGACAGGGAGAGGGCGCGAGTCACTGAACCGTAAACAAATTATTTGAATAAATACAGCGCGGACGAGAAGTGCTTCTTTCTCCTCCGGGGTGGCCGGATTCGTGGTCATGCGAGCGTGGCTCAGTTGGACCCACGGTTGGTTAGCGATGGTCTAATTAACCAGAATAATTCCTGATGATGGGAATTAAGTCGTAATGAACGCGAACAATAAGAAACGGGCTGTGGCAATTACTGAAATAATCAATGATTGTAGAACCGATCAGAGCACAATTGAGAGGCTTAATCGCGCAATAATCGCCGTTAGGAAATGTCAAAGTAATTTAGAGCGACGTTATCAGCTGGAGAGGATTCCACAAATTGGGTATTAATGATGATTGCGATGGAGATAAAAAACGTGCTTTAAAAAACGTCCCGCGACGAAAAAATTGGACGTTTTTTTTGTTACACCTTTCGTTACGCAATCGTCAACTCTAAATTAATTCTGATGGCTATAATCTAGCACTATCCTCCTCCTCGCGAAGGTTTTTCTGCGGATTTTTTTTATTTGAATCGCGTTGTCCTCCAGATTGCGCTTTTTTGCTCTAGCCTTCGAATAAGTGCTACTGGAACTGTTTAGAAGAGTCTAAGGGCACTCAAATATGTACCTTTCTTTTTAAATATTAGCAATAATAATCTTTTGGGTGGATTCCCAATTGAGCAAGCAAGCAAGAGATCAACTACGGGAGCAAAATCAAGAAATTAGAGATAAGTATGAAGAATGGAAGAGAGCTAAGGAATAAATGGGAAAGAGAGTGGGTGAAGTAGAAAGAGAGGGCAGACTCAAGAAGGAAACAAGGCAAAAGAAAAGGAATAAAGGATGCAGATAGGGAAATCGGAAAAAAGGAAGCTGGTACAAAATTAGGAGAAAAAGGAGTTCTGGGACTACGTGGGAAAATTTGATGTTGTGGGGCTAGTAGAGACTTGGGTACAAAGAGAAAATTGGGAGAAATTGGAAGAGATACTACCACAAGAAAATGTGTGAGAGTGTCAAGGGGCGACAAAGGAAAATAAAAAGGGGAGAGCAAGCGGGGGAATAGTAATGGGAATTTGAAAAGAAATGCAAGAATTGGAAAAGGGAAGTAATAATAAAAACGAACTAATGAAGAAGTAATACAGCTGGATAACAATCGATGGGAAATAAGCAAGAAAATGGAGGAAACCAAGATAAACATAGAAAAGAAAACAAACGGGACAAAAATAATAAATAAAGAAAATGGAGAGAAAAAAGAATCAAAATATAAAGCAAATAACAAAGAAGGGAAAATATTGTGGCAGATAACAGAAGAAATGGGATGGGAAATTAATTATAGACTATGGGATTGTCAACGAAGAGGCGTGGGAAGAAATAGAGAGTTTCTAAGTGGGGGAAAGGGTAGAATCAGACCACATGCCACTAGAAATAAAAATCAAAGGAAAAGAGCAAGAGTACGAAAAACAAGAGAGAAGAAACGAAAGAAAAGAAATAGAAAAAAGAATATGGGATTAAGAAGGAATTCAAAGATACAGAAGTAGACTAGAAAAAAAGAAATTCGAAGTGAAAGAAGATATAGAAGCTATGATAGCAGAACTGATCAACTTACTTAAATTGAGAAGCTACCGAAATAAGAAGGATATACATATGGCAAGGGAGGAATAATGGATAGAACGGGGAGTGTAGTGAGTTGAAGAGAAAAGCAAGGGAAAATTAAGAAAATGGAAGAATAACAAGGGAAGGCAAGAAGACTACCTAAAAGCAAGAGAGAATTATAGGAGAAAATGGGAAGAAAGAAAAAGAGAAAAACGAGAAGAAGAAGAGACGACAATACAGTCCCTGAAAACAAAAGAAGTTTCAAAGTGGGGGAAAGGGTAGAATCAGACCACATGCCACTAGAAATAAAAATCAAAGGAAAAGAGCAAGAGTACGAAAAACAAGAGGGAAGAAACGAAAGAAAAGAAATAGAAAAAAGAATATGGGATGAAGAGGAATTCAAAGATACAGAAGTAGACTAGAAAAAAAGAAATTTGAAGTGAAAGAAGACATAGAAACTATGATAGCAGAACTGAGCAACCTAATTGTAGAAGCTACAGAAAAAAGAAAGATATACATATGGCAAGGGAGGAATAATGGATGGAACGGAGAATGTAGTGGGTTGAAGAGAAAAGCAAGAGAAAAATTAAGAAAATGGAAGAATAACAAGGGAAAGAAAGAAGAGTACCTAAAAGCAAAAGAGAATTATAGGAGAAAATGGGAAGAAAGAAAAACAGAAAAACGAGAAGAAGAAGAGAAGACAATAAAGTCCCTGAAAACAGAAGAAGAAGAATGGAGATATATTTATAAAGAAGGAACGGAGAAAGAAAACTGAAGTCAGTAGGAAAATCAAAATACATGAATGGAAAAGACACTTTATGGAATTATTGTCGGTTATGAGGAAAAATGTTGTGAAATAAATATAATATAATAACCAATTAAACACTAGAGAAGATGTTCAAAATTCCTGCCTTGTGCATATAAGTACGCTCGTAATGTTTCCAAATTTCGATCATTTTTTTGTAAAAGATCCATCACAACTTGCAAAGATAATAATGATTTTGGCAAATAACATACCCTCTAAGAAAAGACAGGGTGAGTGGGCGGGGCTAGTACCTGCTAAGATGAGAGTAATTTTGGCAGATGAGGTATCCTGTAAGAAAAGAGAGGGTGGGTGGGCGGGGTTAGTACCTGTTAAGATAAGAGTAATTTTGGCAGATGAGATATCCTCTAAGAAAAGAGAGGGTGGGTGGGCGAGGCTAGTACCTGCTAAGATAAGAGTAATTTTGGCAGATGAGGTGTCCTCTAAGAAAAGAGAGGGTGGGTGGGCGGGCTAGTACCTGTTAAGATAAGACTAATTTTGGCAGATGAGATACTTTCGTTCTAAACAAAAGAAATTATAAAATTTGAGCTAGTGTACTCTTTTTCACATAACATGGGTGACGCTTGGTTGTTTTCATTACACGTATAGTCTACAGTAGAACCTCGATAATCCGAATTAATTGGGAAAAAGGTGTGTTCGGATTGACGATTTGTTCGGATCAGCGATTTTCCCAAAAATCGGAAAGGGAATTGAATAACAACTTCATACACAGTTGAAAACAAACTTCAAGAAATAAACCTTAATTTTATTAAACAAAATTAAAGAATTCTTAAGCAACAATGGATAAGAGGTACATTCTAAAAAAATATTACTCCGTGACCATAAACACCCTATCTTTTTGGAATCAATACGCCGGGATCTATACTCTGAATTTTTTCATTAATTTTTCAAAAATGAAATTTTCCATTATGTATTACCACCATTATGAAATTTCGACCCATTCTCGACGATTTTCGAAATTTAAGTAAGTACATTTTCTTGTAGATTTTGGGCCTCAGAAGTCACTTCTGGCTTCATTTCTTCGATAACTTAAACCATTTTTCCAGATTCGTCCAGTTGAAATATCGCAATTTTTAAAAATTTCGAAAAATTCGAATTTCACACCGAATTTTCCGAAAATATTGCTCGGTTACCATTAACATGCTATATTTTTGGAATCAGCACGTCGGGATATACATACATATCCCTGAATTTTTTCAGAATTTTTAGGAAACTTTTGCAAAAATGAAATTTCCCTCATGCAAATTTCGACCCATTTTCGACAATTTTCGAAATTTAACTAAATACTTTTTCTTGAAGATTTCGATAACTTCAACCTTTTTTCCAGATTTAGTTACCTAAATCAGTGCATTGAAATATTGCAATTTTTAAAAATTTCAAAATATTCCATACAACATATGCAGAAAGATCTTGCGTCATTTTTGCAAGTAGGTGCGTGTTTCCAAGTTCAGTTCGGATTGCAGAGTTTTTGTTCGGATTAAAGAAGCATCGCAATTGCACCCACTCCCCCCCCCCCCTGGATCCGCGCCTGCTAAGAAAAAAGAAGGTGGCTGGGTGAGTCTACGTTTTGCAATTTTTTTTTGTTAATATGTGTAGACTTATTTCGACAACAAGAAACTTAAAGCATGTTTAAAATGGAAAGTTTGTACAAGAAAATATCGATTTTGGGCTCCACCCCATAATTAAAAATTCATATTTTTTTGCAAAAATGTACCATTTTAACCAGGTTTTAAGTTTATTGTTGTCGAAATAAGTCTACACATATTAAGAAAAAAAAAAGCGAAATGTGGT